TTTTTTTTTTTTTTTTTTTTTTTTTTTTTTTTTTTTTTTTTTTTTTTGTGTTGCAATTGTGTCTCCAATTGGCCCTTAATGTGCGTATAGAATTGGATTAGGATTATTATTTAGATCTTATCCCCACAACAAAAACATAACAAATCTATCCCCTTTAATTTTTTGTATGATCCTTTTAGCTCATTGTCACATATATGCAATAATAATGCAATATATGAATTGTCCTCCATCACCCAAAAATCATAAAATTCTCCTAAAAAAAAACATTGTATTTTGTCCTACAACTATTTGGAAAGTTAGACTATTTTACGATACTATTATGTTCGAGAAGATTTGATCCCAATCCCGACACGATAGTAGAGTGCACTGGGAGAAGGTCCTCTCCCGACACGACAATAGAGTGCACTGGGAAAAGGTCCTCTCCCGACATGGTCTAGTATCACAGTGTGATGCCCTACATTGGTTGAGGAGAAGAACAAAACACCCTTCATAAGGGGGTGGAAACTTTCCCCTAGCAGACGCGTTTCAAAGCTTGAGGGGAAGCTCGAAAGGGAAAGCCAAAGAGAACAATATCTACTCCCAGTGGATATGGGTCGTTACAAATGGTATCAGAGCCAAACATTGGACTATGTGCCAGCGAGGAGGCTGTTCCCCGAAGGGGGTAGACACTAGGCGGTGTGCCAGTAAGAACACTGGGCCCTGAAGGGGGGTGGATTTGGTGGCGGTCCCACATCGATTGGAGAAAGAAACGAGTGCCAGCAAGGACGCTGGACCCTGAAGGGTGGGGGGTGGGGGATGGATTGTGATGTCCCACATTGGTTGGGGAGGAGCCAGTCTTAATGGGAAGCTCGAAAGGGGAAGCCTAGGGGACAATATCTGCTAGCAGTGGATCTGGGTGTTAAAACATATATTTAGCTATGTAACATGAGTTAAAGCAAACTAACTAAACGTTACCGACAACCCTTCTCGACGCATTTTTTACATAGGAAGAATCTTTAGTGACACCTTTTTTTACTTTTCCGACATTCCATGGTGTGAAAAAGGCCCTGAATTCTTATAGCGACGATATATATTCTCGACGTTGATGTGTATACATACATACATATCCATAAGGAACCAACTTGGGTTTGGTAAGGCCAAAATAACCCCTTCACCAACCCTGCCCCTTGGCTTAAGCACAGGGACGTTTATGCATGGCTCTTAACACGTCATGGGTGCATCCATCCACATAAAAACCAACGTTCATGCATGCATAGATGTTTTTTTGTCAGTGGGAGAGAGACCAGAATCTTTTAGGTTCATCTTTTTAAAATCATTTTCAGCCCTAAAAAGAAATATACCTTTTTCCACTCATTTAATAATTATTTATTTTTAAAAAAATTAAAAATTTGAACTTTTATTTTAATATTATTAATTACCATTATTTTTCTAATCCAAGTAAAACTCACACCCTTTTAGCATTTTAAGCGGAAATAAAAAATAAATAAAAACATTTTATTTTATGTGGTGAGAGGAGGCGTCGAAACGGCATCGTATCATATGAAAAAAAAATTGGATAACGTTTGGGGACCTTACCGCATTTCGAATCCACCTCCCCACCAACATTTTCATTTAATTTTTTCTTTTCCAATTTCAAGCCAAAAATAATTAAAACCAATAATTTCCAATATTTAAAATATAAATAAAAATATATTAGTTTTTCTGTCTAATTTTTATAAGGAATATTATAATTTTTAATGGCTGTTTAATTTTTTTTTAACTCAAATAATTATTATTAAATGGTAATCAAACTCAATTAATTTATTCAAATGTTTTATTTTTAATAAAAATAAAATATTAGTTAGTAAAATATTTATTTATTTACCTTCAAATTTTTTAAAATAAGTTTTAGAGAATAAGTAATCAAAAAATAATTATGTCACAAACAAAATAAAAAATATATATATATATATTTAAAATCGTTCAAATCCATACTAAATTTAGAGGAACCCACGGACAAATTCTACTTGTACTAATTGAGTTGAGTTGAGCTGATCGAGTTTTCGAGCGATCGAATATTTTGAACGAAATTTGAGTAAAATTTTGAAGTAAATTTATATTATATACCGAAAGTGACTCGAACTTTATGAAAAAGAATGGATAATATAAAGTTTGAGACATGATGAAATGCGATGGGTTAGGAAGGAGAAGTCTCTATTTTCCGCATTACAATTGCAAAGATTCCGACGTTGTCGTTTCACTTTATATCTTCCCAATGCGACATGTCGTAAATGCACCTTGAAATTACATATTCCTCCTTCCGTGGCTTTCCTTCAGCGGTTCGATATTCTTTTACCTTTCCTGGGGTAATTGGTCCATATAAATAGCCGGCCCTCCCGGTTGGTTCGAACTTGAGCTGAAAGCGGGTGGAAGAATGGAGAGAGTTAGAAGGATGGTTTCAGAGAGGCCGGTCGTGATCTTCAGCAAGAGCACGTGCTGCATGAGCCACACTGTGATGAGGCTGCTGAGTGGGTTTGGGGTTAACCCGGCGGTGCACGAGGTGGACCAGATCGCTCGAGGCAGGGAGATCGAGCAGGCTCTGTCTATGCTTGGCTTTAGCCCCACGGTTCCGGCTGTCTTCATTGGCGGCCAACTGGTCGGTGGAACCAATGAAATTATGACACTTCATCTTAATCGCTCCCTCATTCCCATGCTTACCGCTGCTGGCGCTTTGTGGGTTTGACCTTAAATTCAGCTGACCAATGCTTTTTATGTTTTGTCCGATAGTGTAATTTAGTGGATAAGATATCGACTACTGTCTTAAACCGATATGAGTTTATTTTGATCGCTCAGTCACCTTATACAACTAATACACAACTGACTCAAACGGACCGAGTCATTTGGTCAGAATCTGTTTTTTCATTTCGAAAAAACAAAAAAGAACCTAATCGACTGTCGTGTTGTATTTAGAGAAAGTATGTGAAGACTGATTTGGTTGGTTTTTGTTCAAATAGACTCTGATAGCGTAAGATCAATCTACAGTCAATGATAATTCAAAAAATGTTTTTTTCCCTTATGAGAAACAAAAAATGACCTGATCGACTGTCGTGTTGTATTTAAAGAAAGTACGTGAAAATTGACTTGGTTGATTTTTGTTCAAATAGACTTTGATCACATATGATCAATCTACCATCAATGATAACTCGAAATATTATTTTTGAGATTAATAATATGTAAGAGTCGAAATTTTAATTTCTTAGAGATATGAGCTATACTCGAGTTGGAACTAAATAAATATAATAAATATGGAGTGAAAATTTAAAAATTAATAATAAGTCAATTTGAGCATAACTTAGTGGATAAGATACAAATTATCACCGGGTATAAAAAATTCAATATAAATATTCTAATATATATATATATATGCTTAAATTTTTTTGTAAAATATAATTCGTTTAACTATTTTTTAAATTGATTTATTAAAAATTAGTCATTAATCTTGCCATTAATTAATAATTATATTATCAACCAGACAACCATGATACCTTTTAAATTATTTATTTGACTTTTAATAAGGCCAGCCCAACAACAACTATTTGTTGGGCCCATGAAAGCCCACGACAGCGTCAAGTCCATGTTCGACACGTGAGAATCGAGATTGCGCAAAATCCCGATAACCCTTTTTCCCGCTAATTTTTCTTTCCATCGGCTCCAATTTCCAAGATCGATGATAGTGTGGTCCCCACTTGGACGATAAAGGCTTAAATATCTATTTATTTATTATCTCCCATTTATTTCATGATTTTAATAAAAAATAATAAACTAAATTCAAACCAAACCGAACCTAACTTAACTAACATAAATTATATGTCATCAATTAATATAGATAATTGATATTCAGTATAAATGTATAAAAAGTATTATTAATGAGAGTCATCAATGTAAATATAAATATTAATAAAGAAATAATAATAATTTAGATCCGTCAACATGAATATAGTATGATCGGAGAAAAATGAAAATAATTTATAATTCTATTTAAAATAAATAAATATATATGTGTGTGAGATAATATATTTATTAAAATGAAAAAAAAAAACCTAGAGACTATAGGGGCGAAAAGGAACAATTATATTAAAAAGAAATTAAATGCTGTGGGGCCCAGCGATCTCCCTCCAAAATCAACGGTTATTTCTTGTTCTACTGCCTTCAGCCTCGTTTGTCTGGTTCTTCACATGGCGCAACTTAGCGATTTACTTGTACCCGCCTATGCTTCCTTACAAGGTAAATGCTAAGGTACGCTGCCTTTAAGGTCACTTTCTGCTTCTTCTACTTTCCTTGTCGCATCTGCATAATGGACGACTGAACCAAAAAGTATCTGATCGTCCTCAGAGTTACGCTTTTGTTTTGCAGGATTCATTGTCGTGTTAATTGATTCTTTTTTTCTTCTGGATTATTTCCGAGTTTTTCTATCACTATCCGTTTCAATTGCGGTTTTGCTTCACCGTAAATCCTCTGTTTCTGTGCTTCTTTGGGCTATGTGGCTGTGTTTCGTAACTTCATCTGGATTCCGGCTGATGCTGTGGAGCTTCGTTTGATGGTAATGTAGGTTGTTCTCTTGAAGCGCTTAGGGATTTGGAGTGAGAGGAAGTTACTGGTGCTTACCGAGAAGTTTTAGTTCATGAAAATGTTCGGGTTTCGAAGACGAATGAAGCTCGGAAGGTTAGCGATTATGTCGGTTTATATCTGTTGTTATTTTTCTGTTGTGGCAATATGTGAAGCTTTTGTTCGATTTATTTGACTTCTGGAAAATTTTGAGTCGGTTCTTTCTGAACTATGCGCATACAACGAATTAATGCGAAGAAACACGAATTAATGCGACAATATTTAGCATATTTTGATTGAAAAAAGGTATTTCGTAACTGTAGATTGAAAGTCCAGCTTTCGGATCCTGCTCAGGGAACTAGGAGTCCTATAAGACACCCCAAACGAGTGACCAGCTCTAATGTGAGGCTTCTTTTTTGCTGATTTAGATTCATGTTTGAAATAGAATAGCACATTTCTGAAGCTGTTTTTGCTTGTAGACTGAATGTGCTGCTGCACCTACAAGTAGGCAGTCTGAAGAGCATGATGGCCAACGTGCTTCTGACGTTCCTCATACCAGTATTGGTGCTTTGGGACAGTCTGAGAATTGGATGGTCTTGTCAATTGCAGGGGAAAAACCAGCTCCTCGTTTCAATGTATAATTTTTCTGTTTCAATTCTTGATGTTGACATTAATGATAATGTTACATTGGTTTAGACCTACACATGTGATCTTTTACTGTGAAGAACGTGACCATCTTCTCCTTTTTTTTTTTTTTTTCACAGCATGCAGCAACTGTTATTGGAAATAAGATGATTGTTGTTGGTGGCGAATCTGGGAATAGGTTATTGGATGATGTACAGGTTGTGATTTTTTTTTAATTTTTTATTTGGATCTGAGAGATTCATTTTTCTTTGCACCAACTGTGTACACTCAAGTGATTGCTTTGCCCGAGTGGATAGTGATTATATCGTTCTGTCTGCAGGTGCTTAATTTTGATAAATATACCTGGAGCACAGCCTCATCAAAGCTTTACTTATCACCTAGCTCACTGCCATTGAAGATCCCTGCATGCAAGGGTCACAGTCTGGTAAGTTGTCACAAGTAACAATAGATAGCGGGTGTGCGTGTTGGTATGTATATATTGTTGGAAATCTGTGTGTCCATGGAACTAAATCTCTAAAACTAACAGACCAGGCCGGTTTTTGAGTTGAGATTCATAGAGTGGACTTCTTTAAGTGAAAATATAAACCAAATGGGTAATTTCTGGACCCAAAGAATATTAGAGATTTATTTTAATGAGACGCTTACTTTTAGGATGAGGCATTATATGGTTCTATTGAACCATCAGTACCAGTTCCTTTTAGGTAAACAGACTAATCGACTGGACTACGCTTCTGATATACCAAATTAGAGCAAGAGAATTGCCATCAGCAAGATCTTAGATTAAAACATTCTTTATGGAGATGAGTTCTAATGCACAATATTATCATCTATATTCATTTAGCCCAGGGTGATGGGACACTCTTTATGACATCTCATAATCTATTTTTGCTCAACTTTTATTTTCGAAAAGGTTTCATGGGGGAAGACAGCTCTCCTGGTTGGGGGCAAGACAGAGCCAGGAAATGAGAGAATTGCAGGTTAATATTCTAGTATTAATATTGATATTTCTTCTCTTTTGTTTGGTAATCTGATCTTTGTGGTCCTTGCAGTCTGGGCATTTGACACAGAGACAGAATGTTGGTCGCTGATGGAAGCCAAGGGAGATATACCTGTACTAGTCTTTGTTACTCAAATTCATTACACGCATTTTATCAAATGGTTTAGTGATGATTGATTCCATTAATCCTTTGAATTCTTTTTTTCCTTTTCAATTTTCAAATCTTAATCTTTGGAAATATCAACTTGAAATTAAATATAGGCCATCTAGTTTGGATTGAATAATTTTAAATTCGATTTCATGGTTAATTCTAGTTGATATCATTTCCCTCCCAGTCTTAGTTTTTTGGAATGTTGTGAACACACAAATGGTAGCTTTGCTGAGGAGATTAATTGTGAATAATAGCAAAGTTAAGCAACTTTAATTATTGCAGGTTTCTAGAAGTGGTCACACTGTAGTTAGAGCTAGCTCTGTCTTAATCCTCTTTGGTGGTGAAGATAGTCGGAGGAGGAAACTCAACGACCTTCACATGTTTGACCTTAAATCGTTTACCTGGCTCCCTCTACATTGCACGTGAGTAACGTTGGCGTTGGTTGAGTTATTAGTATAGTTTTTTCGTGAAGTTTTGCATAATTGATGCTATGTAATTCCAAGAGAACCTTTAGTTTACCATTTTCTTTTACACTACTAGAGATGTTAGGTGTTTTCTTCTTCTTACATTTCCTTATCTATGTCAGAGGAACAGGACCATCTGCAAGATCCAACCATGTGGCCGCTCTTTATGATGATAAAACACTACTTATATTTGGAGGGACATCAAAATCCCGGACCCTGAATGATTTATACTCACTTGACTTTGAGACAGTATGTAAATATGCTTTTCATTACAAAGTTAACCAAGTCTATAATTCAGAACATCATCCGAATATAACCCTGATTGTATGTAAAACTATTTTTGTACCTTGGGCAGATGGTGTGGTCAAGAATAAAGGTACGGGGTTTCCATCCATCACCTAGAGCTGGTTGCTGTGGTGTTCTCTGTGGAACTAGATGGTGCATAGCAGGGGGTGGAAGCAGGAAAAAAAGTATGTTCATGGTCTATGAAGCAAATAATAATACTTACTCCACAATTACATGATGTTTTTTTTTTTTTTTTTTTTTTTTACCGTAAACTGATTTTCCTCTCGTTTTTTTCCCCTGTTCTCAGGACATACAGACACCTTAATCTTTGATGTACTGAAACATGAGTGGTCTGTTGCTGTCACGTCTCCTCCATCTTCTGTCACCACCAATAAGGTGTGGTGAAAATTTTGATTTTATTTGTTGCTGTATGTTGCCCACATTTGCTATTTATTGGATCTTTATGATATTCCCTTCGGGAAGGAAAACTGCTAAAACCTTCTTAATGGTTCTTTATTATTGTTTCATACAATTCTTGCAGAGAACTTAGTGGATGTTGCACATTTTTGTTATAAGAATTTTATGTTTGAAGCCTGCTAAACATTCTTTTGAAAAACACATCTGTTACACTGCTATTCAAATTAGGGCTAAATCTTTTTCATGATTGCCTTTAGATTAAACAAATTTTTTAACACTATTTTTCTGGTAGTCCATAGTCACACTGTTCATGTTGGTCTTGCATTGTGCTTGTATAATCTCTTCAATCATAAACCAGCTAGTGTAAATACAGTTTTTTATTCTTAAAAAACTTAATTCTTTTTGAGAAGCAATCATTTCAAGATAATATAGTGTGCTAATTACAGATCTCTTAATTTGTGTGAACCACTATTCTTGGATGAATACTTAATATAGATATGTTCTTAGGGTTTCAGCTTAGTGCTCGTGCAGCACAAGGAGAAAGATTTACTTCTTCTTGCATTTGGGGGATCCAAAAAGGAGCCATCAAATCAGGTAAGATTCAATACTATATTAAGTATTATTCTTNTAAAATTTTAAATTTTTTTTTTTTTTTTTTTTTTTTTTTTTTTTTTTTTTTTGCTTTTCCCTTCATGATTGTCCCAGGTTGAAGTATTGACCATGGAAAAGAAAGAACCATCCTTTAGGCACCGATCCAATCCTAGTAAAATCCCAGAAACTCTTACTTCAATTCATGGATTTTTTACAGCTTTGTATGGAAACTTAGTGATGCTCCCTCTCATGTTCAGTTGACCCGACTGCTAGACAAAATCTAGCATCTGCTATTGGACACGGTTCTGGAAGAAAATCCATCTCAGAGTTCGCACTTATTGATCCAAGTCCTGTTCCTGGAAATATTTCACTGCGCAAGCAATTTAATAATGATGAAGCCTTTGACAAAACTACTAAGATAACCAAGACTCCAGAAGATGATTCCTCTACTTCTCAGGTAACTCTAGTTGGTTGTATTGGAGATAGTATATGATGTGGGTTTGACAATTGTGAATCATTGCATTTATTTTATTTAGCAAGTTTAACGTATATCAGACACGGTTCGTTTGGTGCAGGCAACAGAAAACAAGATAACTCAATCTGGAAGTGAATTCCACGGGGAGACACTACCTTCTGTATACGAATATGACAGTTCAAATCCCTTCAAGGAGGGAGTTGGATATCATCCCATGGATAACACTGATCTATTCAGCGACAACAGTGGCAAAGTAGTAACATCATCCACTTTTTCGAGCATATATCAGTTCTATGAAGCGAAAATGGCGGCATTGATTAGAAAGAATGGAGTTCTCGAAGGGCAATTAGCAGCAGCCATGGCAAGTCGAGAAGCTGTGGAGAAGAATTTATCTTCTGCTCTAAAGATCCGGCAGGAGATGGAGAAAAGAATAGCTGATATGATAAAGGAGATGGAAATGCTGAGAGATAAGCTAGCAGGAGTAGAAATAGCAAAAGAAGAGGCCAACAGCCTGTCAAACATCGTCCACTCTGACAATGTCCGCCTTGAACATGATGTTGCTTTCCTCAAAGCAGTTTTGGATGACACCCAGAAGGTATTTTACTTGTCTCATGGCATGGTCGTGTTTGTCGAATTTATGTACCATGATACTTAAGTGTCGATTTTTTTTTTTTTTTTTTTTGGTAGGAGCTTCATTCTACTAGAGGAGTCCTTGCTGGAGAAAGGGCCAGGGCTTTCCAACTTCAGGTACTCGACTAACCACAAAGCTGGAACAGCTCTATCTCTTTCCCTCTCCCTTTTGAGTTTCGTTCTTGTCAATATAATCCTCTCACAGATTACTTAGAATGTTAGCAACCACATTGCACGGGTTAATATGTTAAAACGTCTTGTAGCTATAGTTTATGGCTAGGACTACTAGGATATCTAATCCTAAAGCTGTATCTGCTCGCTCTCCCTTTGAATTTCGTTCTTGTGAACATAGTCCATTGATAGGTTTCGTGTTTGACCTCACCCTGCATGAATTACTTCACAAAAAAATGTCTTGTATCTTTCATTTTTGGCTAGGACTACTAACTAGGGTATCTAAATCTCATAGACTCCTCGAACTTCATCATCCCTTAGTGTCAGTGTCGGCTCAGGGTAGTGCTTTCACTGTTGGTACATTCATCGTGCATTTTTTGTTCTGTTCCAATCTTAGGCTTATAGTTATATTGCATCATAACATTTACCTTCTGTCATCAAATGAATTATTCTAGGTTGAAGTATTCCATCTAAAGCAAAGATTGCAGTCCATGGAGAACCGAGCACCGACGCCGAGGAAACCGTTCCATATGTAGGAATGAAATTCTAACGACCTGAATCGGTAAGAAGATCATGGTAGGCTTCTGTAAATTTAGATGATTCCAATTCTAGATGGAGAGATTTTTGTTAGGGATGTAGTAACATTCTGAAATCAGAGCTTATAGGAATCCGTTTCCCCCCTTGAGGCAGCAGTAACGAATCCATTTACAAATCAGTTGCCTCTTTTTGAATGTAGACTTTGGAAGCGAAATATTCCTCAACAACTGCCGGCCAATGGGCTTAAGATTGTTTAAGGTTAAAGCCTTGAATTTGATTATAAGTGTAAAAAGAGAAGTTCTAACTATTTAGGGATCTTTTACTGTTATTATCAACAGAGATTTATTGTTTCTAGAAACTCTTTATTTAATAATGCATATATAAAAAGGAAATAAAATGCTTAAGAAAAATTATAAAGTTTTTCAACAACTTGTATCAATTTTTAGTTTTAATCTATACTTTCATCAAATAGTAACGACCCTAAACTTGAATTTTAAAAAATCCCTTATGAGATACAACATCGATAACTCGAAGCCTAACGAGTCCCTTAGTCGTTGCATCTTAGTAGGTTGGCAAATCCAACGGTGTCAACAGAAAGTCAGCATAGAGGTAAAATCACCATCTTGCTTCCAAAGGCCTTTTACAATAATAATCCTCGGTGTTTCTCCATGGTGGCTCTGTTGTGTGCCGTATACATTGATTTACACCAAATATTTTGGCTGAGTTCACATCTCTAGGTAGAACTATAAAAACATTCAGAATCAGAACAGCATGTTAAAATTTAGCAATATGTACGTACCTCAAACATGATAAGTAGTACATTAAAGCAGTTATCTACTTTACAAAGAAGTTCGAACGGGATCTCGACTTGATGATTTATGTTGCAAATTCCAAACCTTAAGAGGCTATTTCCAGGTTAGCAGAGAGGAAGGGCTTTTTAGTCGTTTCATTCTTCTTCTGGTTCTTCTTCTTCCTGGAGAAGGTTTTCTCTGTTATCATGAGCCCAGAAACCGCGCACGTCAATTAGCATGCTTGCAACCGTGCCACCTTGCTTGCAGTTCAGTAGATCGTTCGAAGTAATTTTTAGAGGGTCGCCTGGCTTAACCATGTCCCATATCTCATCTCTTACATCTTCTATGCACAACTCATAGTTCCCACCCTCTATCCATTTCTGATGCACGTCTCTGTATCATAGAAAAAAGAAATTATCACCTGGCTAAAGCGATTGCTCGGTATAACTACTGAGAGTTCTTCGTACAAATAAAATAATAATCATTGAGATGGGTGTGTAATTTATGTCTCTGGTATTTTGAGGCTTGTAGAATGTGCTCGATTCTACAAGCAGGAAAATACAGATGTACTATGTAGGAAGATTGTATCAGGTAGCATCCTGCTTTTAGATGCTCCCCTTCTTTTACTTCCTTCATTTTCATTTGATTATGAACTTAGTTGATTAGATTTGAACAGAAACTGGATAAATTGACTTCACCTGAAAAGAGTATGAATATCTACTGTTGTAAGGTAACCCCTCCCTTGAAGATCAAGACACCGAAACAAATATGTCAACCCTTCCGGAGTGTCTTTATTTTCGAGGGCAAGAACAAAGTCCAGAAAACTATCGAAGTCCATCTCCCTTGTGTTCCCTCCACCCTTGTTCCGACGAACATGCTCATCAAATACTACAGAAAGCAAATAATTAGCAAGTGATGGATAGACAATTAGCATTTCAAAAACTAAGAGAAGATATGCATGACTATAAGCATGCGAAACATGTTTTCCTAACATAATTAAAAAAACCATTCATTGATGGATGGTGAATGGTGAGTTTCATAGAATGAATTAAGACAAACCTCTTTCAATGAAAATTTCAGTCAAAGTCCCATCAGCATATTCTCGTAGCTCCTGCTTGCTTAATGTTCCATTCATATCTTTATCAAGAGCCAGAAACATGTCTGTAGGAATAAAGTACACGGTCAGCCAACTAAGAGAATAAACACCTTTCCACAGTTATTACACGCACCCAAAAAACTAGAACCTAGGCAAAGTACTACAAGGACTTGATAAAAAACAAACAAAAATAATCAACCCTTCAAACAATGAATTAGCACAAAGATAAAGGAAATAACACTGGATGAATCTTCAAGTAAGATGAATGTAACTCACCACAAATGCGTTGAGCAGATGTTAGGGAGAACCAGTTCTCCGCTTGTTCAGTATCAGTAACTTCTTCCTCAGTTTCCTATAAAAGAGATAATATACTCAAACAATAATATCCCACATGTAATTCAGTAAACAGTCTTTTCTCGGGTCAAAGTGCCCAAAATATTTCGTCGTTTCTGTTCGTATTATCACCATGGATAGAAGTTCCTTAATCATTCTCATACTTAGTCTTTATAAACTTGAGATGTGTTTGGGAATGTTTTCAAATTGAAGTAAAAGTATTACTTAAAAAGCACTCTGGTAAAATGTAATTCATAGCTCACTGCGTTTTGTTTTAGTTTGACTTTTTTTCATTTAATTTCAATAATACAAGTCATATTATTAAAATATGAATCTCTTTTATCAGGAAACTAGAATCTTTTAGATTTTCACAATATTATTAAGAATTTGATTTTTATCCATACATTAAGTTTAGGTTTGCTTTGACTAGAGCCATAAGTTCACACCCAAAGCCAATTCGGTGTTTGATAACATTAACCTCGAGCATATCAGCATGATCTACCTGGTGCAGTTCCATTAATTCCTGCAGACAATTGCTGAGCAGCACTTTCTTTATGCAAGCTTTTCCTACAAAAATCAACAATGAAATTAAAGACACATTAATCCAAGTAATGTTACCATAAAAAATAGATATTGAAGGGTTGAAATACAAAATTAAACGAAGGAATTATGAAAAATCAAGATAACATGTTTCTAACACAATTCAAGACCGTAGGCAAACCTCTTCTTGCAGGATCACAAAAGAAGAAGAATTTGCGAGCAGCTATACGACAATATGTTTGCACAAAAGATGCAGGAATATCTCGTAGTTGAGCCAAATTTGGAATAAGACCTCTTATATAGCCCTCCATTTCCTACAGAAAGATAATAGAGCATTCATTAATGTGGTTACGTAAGTTGCCACAGGAACAAAATAAAATTCTTGTATATCCAGTCTTTGAACACAAAATATGCAGAAGGCTCATACGTGAGGTTGAAGGAAACCATCAGAATCCTCATCAAGTTCACTCATATCAATTCTCGCTTGAGTAAGAGAAACCTGCAGAATAAAGAGAAAATCCCATATCAAATTGACATGGAAGAATAAAAATCCTCCAAACATCTCAACAGACTTTTCTCTATCACTTCATAAAAATAAAATAAAATAAAATAAATATAAATAAATAAGAGCCTTTTCTATAAATAAATAGACATTGAAGTTCTACTCCCTTGGAATGCTTCATAGTTCAGATATAGAGTATGCAATCTTTGAATGATGCAATGGAATGCTAAAAAGAATATTACGTATCTTAATAACTTCAACAAAGTCCTATAGGGCCGTTCAATTGGCCAAGACTAATTGCCATAATGCACACATTTTGGGTTCCAATCCCTCAATTGCCATTGCATTTGTCAAAAAACTAAAAAAATAGCAGAGAACCCTTGTCCTAAAAAAACATTGCAAGGGCAAAAAAAAAAAAAAAAAAAAA